GGTTTTGTCCTATGATCTTCGTCGATGGTCATCTCTTATGATTTCAAACGTGGTGGTTCTTTAGAGTAAGAAGCCTTCGTTCCCTTTAGACGGTGCCAAAATATGGGAGTCGAATCTCACAATTATAATTTGTCAAGTAACTTTTAGAGGGTTTGAAAAGTTCTGTGGAAAACCACTAAAACGAGTATATCTCAAGAGAGTTTTTATTAAGCTGTTAAGAAAGTTGTTCCAGAATACAAGTGTTTGTGAATGAATTTCGGATCCCCTCTGAAAAGGTAAGAGTACCCAAACTGGAAACACAAATACTGTATCCAACAGAATGTATTTAAGACACACTTAAAATACTTTCATTCATTTAGAACCTAGCACAGCTACACACAACATCAGTTGTAACAAGAACAGATTATACAATCTTTCAATAATGAGATACACTCTCACCCTAGTCTACCCAAGAACCCACGACATCTTCTATCACAAGATTCGTGTTCAACACCGTTCCTAGTCTACCCAGATCAAGACCAATTATGCTTAACACAGATTCACTTTAATCATGCTTGAGTTCTTCAAGAAGTCTACTCTCTCAACTTCTCACTATCTTTTTCGTAAAAGAATTGACTTTTAAAAGCATCTTGTGCAGTCCATTTATATTGGTTTTCCACTAACCAATATCTCTGAAGAGGCATGTTTCGAACCAGCAGACATTCCACTGTTCTTGCGCAGAGACACACTGTTTCACCTGTCACTTCACTTTGTGCAACGCGCCAACCTTATGCTTTTTGCCTTTTGTATAAGGTCACTTCTCATGGTTCAAGACACCCGTGACATTCACACGTGTGATGTTGACTTCACACGTGTGACACTGACTTCAGTTTTGCTCGTCTTCTGTGTAATACAAGAATCTTCACACCTTATTTGATCCTTATTTGCCATCTTTGATACATCTACAATCTCCCCCTTTTTACTTGAGTATGTCAAACCAAGCATCCTGTCAAAACAAAACTCCTAGAGGGTAGATACAATCTTCTTAATGGAATCACCTCAGTGATCTCCACGATCATGTTCAATAACAATACCAGAATAGAGCCATAGTATGAATT